ACATAAATTCAAACTTTAGTAAGCTCAACTGCCTATGTTGTAAGGTAATAATAATAAGCTTCTCTTCTAGAGGGTTAACAACCTAAGTTTGCACACAAAAATTAGAGAAAAGGAAGGGCTGCAAGGTCAGCCAACATTTTGGCCCTAGTCTTTCAAGGTCAGTGAGGACTCAGGACATAGAAGAACCTGTACTGGAACATCATGTAACTCAGATGTGTCCCAAATTTTCTGATCAAGGAGATTATGGGGCCAAAGAGGAGAGTGACTGATGATGTAGAGTGTGCCTAAGAAGAGTCACATGGACAGAAAACATTCTCTCAGGCTTTCACAGAGAGCACATTGGCCAAGCAATGGCCATGACTCATCCACATGGCTGACACTGACAAAGGATCTACAAGCTGCTGTACAGGCTTCAGGGTAAATCCTGAGGGGACTTGACTGAATTTGTGAGATACAAAAGTCACATTTCTTGTTATACAGGTCTTGCTTTATCTTAGTCTTAACCATGCAAAAGAAGAGTATAAAAACAAGGTATAAAAAGTAAAGCCATATTAATATGCTGAGCTGTAAAAGGCTCAAGTCAACAGCTTCTGATATTGCCAGTCCTATGGATAACCCACTACTGTTATGGACTACTGGACTATATTGGAATATTTTGCTGAATTCATGCACCCCCAATATTTAAATGACAATGGAATACCCATCTCTGACAAAACTAAAGAAAAAAGGGATAAAATGAAGGACCATTTTGTACATGTATATTCAAAATAGTTAAGATAGATACACAGCTACTTTCTCTTAATTTAATAAATAGAAAGAGTTGTACTAATAGTATTTGTAGACAGACTATCATGTCTGCATCTTGTACTATGAATAACCACTAAGAAGACAACAATATGCAATGTATTATTTTTTTAAATACAATATATTTTATTTCCATTGGCAAGACAGCAATGCATAAAATATTATGGTATCTGCCAAATAAGCTTGATGCATTTTTTTCCTTTTGTTCCTCCCTTTACTTTATTTTTTAATTAATTTTATTGAGATATCAATGAGACAGTTTCAAAACCGATTAATAGGACAGTTTCAATAATTAATACAATTCATATTGTTATCTTCTTAATGGTTATTCATAGTACAAGATACAGACATGATACCCTGTCCAAATACTTTTAGTACAGTTCTTTCTATTCATTGAATTAAGCGAAAGTAGCTGTATATCTATCCTATTTTGTATAATGTATTAATTGTTGAAACTGTGTTGGTAACTGGTTTTGAAACTGTCTCATTGCTATTTGTTTCTCAATAAAATTATTTAAAAAAAATCTTTGCTAAGTGCCATGAAGACTTCAGAACTTTCTAGTATAAACATGAACTGAAGTGTAACAAAGATATTTCCATAACAAAAGCATCAAATCTTCAAAATATTAAATAATTGACTGTTCCTTATTCACAGAGAAGTTTTATGATAAGATTGACTGAACTCATAACTGGATGGGAGATGCTTTCTCTGACTAAAGGGTTCTCTTTTTAAAATGTGTTCTTCCTAAGGAGAAATGGATATGTCTACTACAATGTAATGTTTTTGTGACTAAATCAAGAGAAAAAAATATTTTCATATTAGAATCCCAATTCCTCAATAAAGTATTTTGCAAATACAAGGCCAAATTGGATTATAGTGATGGTATTAAGCTTTTTATTTCACTTATTTTTTATTTTAAAGAGAAAAAACAGTAAAAATGATACAGAATTTTACAACAAGGTGACAAGAAATTAACAAGGGTTATGATATGAGTTTTAACAACTTACACTATATTAGGAATGAGATCCATATTCTTAATTATTTTAGCACCCCTCCTTTGTGATGAGTGAAAACTCATTCTAAAAGAAGTGGGTTATCTTGTGTAACATTTGAAAATATTTGCTGGTTACAAAAACTCAAGCAAAGGACATTGTAAGAAAGATTTTGCGAACTCTACACCACAATCATAGCTGCAATCTTTTACTCATTAATTCTTCTGAAGATTAGGACGACACTGCCAGGTAAATACCTGACATCAGGTATGAATTCTAATAACAGTTCCTTAATATTTTTACTACAGGATTACAAATGACCTATTTGAAAGGATCCTTATAAAATGTGTGCTCTCTTCCTTAGTAATAAGAGACAGTATTGCAAACCTCTAGAGCCTAATAATTGGTTAGCCTCTCTCAAATAACCTACTTATTTTTTTGACCATAAATACTGAGTAATCAATGACGCATCCTGATGAAAGCTTTCTAGTTCATATAATGGATAGATACGTACTTACCTATGCTTTTTGTAGAATGTATTTTTAAAAAAATTTATCCTGGAAAGTGATATAACCTCTCTTCATAATCCATTTTCTTGGTTTTTGTCATTGTCAAATTTGTTTTTAGCACAATGGATTTTAAAGGCAAAATATAAGCAATAAAGCCAATGCACCCAAATAGTAGTAAATAGGTGAGTCTGAGTAAAGGATACAAAAATGTTACCTACACTATTCATGAAAGTTTTTGTTGCTTTCCTTTTTCAAAATAAAAATTTTGGGTAGGGAGATCTTGTCCTCAATGAACTTCATGAAAAATACTCTGAGAATTTCATGAAAGAAATCCCAACAGTTAATAGTTTCCAAAAAGATAATATACCTCGGAAACAGAAATAGTGATGATTTCACCCGGCAACTGGAAATGCAAGCCTCTAACTATCAACAAATCAATCTAATAATGTTCAGAACATGAGTGACAACTCATTGTGAGCATCACAGAAGGTCCTCTTGGGGAAGCAATGGCCACAAGAGGCCTCACTGTGGCTCCACAGCCATTCAGGGACCCAATGCCTTGAGTGTGGGAGCCTTAGTTCTGTTTCCAGCAGGATACTTGAGAGCTTTATGCATATGAACTCCAAGAAGCAAACTGATAGAAAGAAAACTCTCCAATGTGCTCTGAAGCAACCTTGTTGAGGGTTCACTCAGGTTCATAGGTGGAAGCCATGGGAAAGTAAGAATCTGTCATCTATCTGTACTACACAGTGAGTTTACCCCTCCCCCAGCCACTTCCTTTGGTTTTACTATTATTTAAAGCCTATCCTTGTAACCAAAGATCATTTATTAATTCATATAGTCAACTAACTACTTTCACTCTCTGTTTATGTGTAAGTCACCAAGTAGGCCCTGCTCTATAAAGCTAGGAAGATAAAGTTTATGGCCCTCTGGTGCTTGGACAGCCCTCAAAGGAAAGTGCAGAGATTTTTCAGCCCTGATTATACATTAAAGTCAACTAGGAAACTTCAAGAAAGATGGATGCTTGGGAACTGACTAAGTCACATTCTGATTTAATAGGTATGGGGTGGGAGAGCTATAATTTTAAAAAGCTTCTTAGGTAAACCTGGTGAGTGGCTAGTAATAGGACCCATTGAAATAGGTGCAAGCAGATTCAATTCAGTTCCTTTATTGGCACAAATACTACTCGAGCCCAGTGACACCCTCAATCATTACAACTACAAGGTTTAGATACAATTTGGAGATTGGTGATCAAGATAAAATGAGACCAATAGTATGGACCCTAACTTAATGTGACTCATCAGTCCCTTATACGGAAGGGAAATTTGGACACAGATGCACATAAAAGTAAGAAGATATGAAGAGACACAGGGAGAATGTAGCCATTTACAAATGGAGTATCCTGGAGTGGCTTATCCTCACAGTCCTTAGAAGCCACCAACTCTACCAATAACTTGATGTCAGACTTCCAAACTGCAGAACAATTGGACCACAAGTTTCTATTGTTTTAGCCATCCAATTTGTGGTGTGGTTACATTAACCTCCCAAAGAAATACACTGTTCTTTAATGTCATAATATTTATCATAATTTATTATTAAATGAACATTCATTTATTTAGTGTTTCCCTCTTTCACCAGAAATGCAGCATCTTTTTTTTTTTCTTTGTACTGGGAATCAAACTCAAAACCTTGTGCTTGCCAGGCAGGCACTGTGCTGCTGAGCTATTTTCCCAGCCCTCACCAAATGATAATCTTCAAAATGACAGTAACTGGGTCTGTTCTTATTAATTTATTTGCCATTATCACCTACTACTGCATATAGTACTCCCAGAGAGGCCAAGAACTCACCAAAAGTGGAAAGAAAAAGATTCTATCAAAAGCCAGCATTGAGTGGTCTAGAACAGGTCAGGGTAACTGCAGACCTCAACTCGATCAGGCCTATGTTTTGTTTTCATATGACATGTGTGTTAAGAATGGCTGTCACATTTTTAAATGGTTATTTTAAAAAGAAAAATGCTTCATGACATTAGAACATAATGGTAAACTTAAGCTTTACAGTTTATAAGTAAAGTTTCATTGCAACACAGTCATACTCTTCCATATTGCCTACAGATGCGTTCATTCCACAAAGCAGTGTTCTATAGCTGTGACAGAGACCACATGGCCTGAAATATTTATTATCTGGCCATTTATAGAAAAAGAAGTGTGCTCAACACTGGCCTAAAATGTGCTCTCCAAGACTTGCAGACCACCCAGGGGTGTACAAGTGGGAGGGGACATGGTGCTGTAGGACACGTCCCACAGCACCCACATTTGCTGTGTGGCATATCATCAGAATATAAACTCTCTAGCACATTCACTTGTCTCAGCTCAAAGATAGGAATAGGAATAAGCCACTGAGTACTCTTCTCCCTCAGGGCACACAGCTCTGGCTCTATCAGTAAGACACGTATACAACAAAGATTTGTGAATTTAATTTTTCCAATATGCATGGAATTTTTATTGAATGCATGTGTTTTGATAAATGAAAGAGTTCAAACATAAATGCAATAGGTGATGAGCACTAAAGACACTCAGCCACATTTGCCTATCCAAAGTTAACATCACAGTACCTCAAAAGCCCATTTTTATGTATGATCTACATAGTAAATAGGGGTGACTTCAATCATGTTCACACAAAGCAGCTCCATTTACCTTTGATGGAGGAACAAACTGAACACATTCCAGCCATACGGTTAAAAAGAATTTTCCACATATTGCACAGTTTTTTCCCCCAGAGATTATGCTCCTGACCTCTGGATAGTGTTCTATGGCATTCATTAGAAAAGGATTCTCCTCAGCTAGCTGATTCAGGACAAATCTTGATGTTATTTCCTATATTAAAAAAGAATATTGTTCCTAAAACTATTTTCATATTCTTACATTATATTGATTTTTAATTTTATTCATACAAATTTTTATCTTCTTCCTTACTCTGTTATTATTCA